TTTTTTTTTTCACAATCACTATGTTGACTAGCCATTCAGGGTACTGTGCTTCTCGTATGAACCATGCATTGTTCAACTTCAATACTTCCAATCCAATAGGCTCAACTAAATCATTGGTCGTGGCTCGCATTTTTCGTTTAAATGGCTTAGTTCATGGCTTGTCATTCAAGCGATGGCAAGTAACGTCAATGTCAACTCCAGGCATCTCGATGGGACTTCATGCAAAGGAGTCTCGGTGAATCTTAAGGAAGTCAATGAGACGTTCCCGTGTTCCCCGCTGAAGTTTGTACTAACCAAGAATTTTCTCTGTTTCATATGAGAATACGGGTATAGTTTCAAGGGTCTCTATGGCTTCCAAACCGCTTCTTTTAATATGGCCAAGTAGGAGGTCCTTCTAAATATTTTCCTCAGCTCGAAAATAACATGTTCGAGACTAAATTAAGTCACCTCGAATAGCAATAACTTGTTCGCTAGCAGGAAACTTGATAGCAATGATTGGTGGATATAGCCACTTCAAAGATGTTCAGCACAGGTCTATCGAAGATGGCATTATATGCATATGGTGGTTCTACAATTATGAAATCGTCTATCGTCGTAAACTGACGTTCTTCTCCCCACGTAACTAAGAGGGCAACGCATGCACATGTCTCTTTTCATTCTCCAGAAAATCCATATTAACGGCCCAAAAGTGGGGGGGCAGTCAATTAACGGCGATTTCCATCTTTCGAAAATCCCTTTGAACAGGATATTTACAGAGCTATCGATGTCTATCAAAATGTTGTCGATCTCGTAGTTCGATAATTGCGGTGACTACGACAGTCTCGTTGAAGGGGTTTCCCCGGTAGGCAAATCAACGTCCAAAAGAGTGACAGAAGAATGAATTAGTATGGTACATTTTCTCCAGTGTCTTCATGGAAGACTGTGATGTGAACGTCAGATATTGTCGGTTGATATAAGGTATTGGAACATGTCGCTTTTCTCCAGTCTATTGATGGAAAACTGTGATGTGAACGTCAGGTATTGCCGGTTGATGTAAGGTATTGTTAGTACGGTGACTATCTCTGATACCTATGTGAAAGGAATAAGTCTTAAGTATCGTACAACGGCTTTAACAAGGGATTGACATATGTCTTTATTAATCATGATGGATTCTTTGTGATCATGATTGTTTCTTCTCATAGTTATTCTTGTATGAGTGGGTTAGGTTATTCTTTCGAAGAAGATGAGGACAACGAAATTAGCACGCGAGCTCAATTCAGCCTCTTCGGCATATAGGTTTGATTTAACCACTTTGGCGCATGAGCTAAATTCAGTGAGAGAAATTTGGCTAAAATTTTCTTATGCCAGTATTTGTGTATACAGATATGTAAATACATAGGAATTGGAGGGTATGCATGCAAAAGTGAAATAAAATTAAAACCGCACTACTTTCCTACCTCTATTCTGCATGTCCATTGCAAGAATGAGATCAAAAACTCTGAAATCAGATGGCTGTACCGGCCGGGAGATTGAAGTAACCTCGATTCCGCGCTTCTTAGCCGCCGCCCTCATACGCGAGTCCGCCGGATTTCCCTAGATCAGCACACCAATGTTACGAAAAACATAAGGATCACAACAGAAAATCAGCATAGCATAAAACCTCATGGTAACCAATGGTGCCCGCGGAGTCGATCCTGAATTTAGACTCCAATCCCCTTTTCCTCACGATATCAGTAAACACCGCCTCCGCAGCGGGGCTCCGGCAAATATTACCTAGCAATCAAAAGCATGGATCTAAGTCGAGAAAACAAATGAAAGCAATGAGGAGCGCTTGTAATACCGAGGCAGACGAATAGCACGGAGAAGGGTGGCTTCGAAGCTTCAGCAGATCGGATTGTATCCTCCATGATCGAAGAAGATGAAGCTACAACAAATGGAAAGGGAAACCGAGAGAATCGCAGCTGGCGATGAGGAGGTGGAGTGAAGAATAGAGAACCGTTTTTAGATCGTCGGAGGTGACAATGCATAAATAAGGTCGAGGGCACGGATGGATGGCAAAATCGTAAATTGGGAGCTAGGCCGCCTCTCATGTTGAAGATATGTCGCGGAGTTGCCGGAGGGAAGAGAATATATGCCCACAAAATGATAATCATTAATTTTGGTATATAAGAAAATGTAATGTAAAATCAAATAGAAATGTGAATTATGTAAAATACAAAAATTTAGGTATTAGATATGTAAATAGATTAGAATTTTGGGAAATTTATATACCAAACCCACAAATTTTGTTTCTATTTACATGTTTTGCATTTGAACTTGTATTTACACATATAGCATTTTGTTTCTCAAC